AAAATACTGATACAAAGCCCAACAAACACATTGGTCTGTTTGCCTTCAGGGACTCCTCTCAACAGCAGCTGCAAGAAGCAACAGGAGCCAAAAGACCCAGAACAGCTTTGAGAGAAGAGGAGAAGCAGAGGCTGTCTGAAGAGGTCTGCAACACCATCCTGGATCACACCAAAGAAAGATTATCTTTCTCTGGCCACCTTGTGAGTGCTACCTTACTGCAAGCAGACATGTTTGAAAGGTACTGCCATTCAAAAAAATTAAAAATCTGTTCATGTTCATTTTTACAAATCTATACAATTGGCCAGAATATGGTTGTTCATATTTACAAATCTATACAATTGGCCAGAATATGGTTGTTCATTTTTACAAAGCCATACATATTGTTTATGCAGTGTTGAGGAATGTGAAAGAACACCCTTGATTATTTTTACTGTGATAACTTATTTTGCTTTTGTAAGCCAACACTTTTGAGATCAGTCAATAAATGCTTCTGGTATTGACTTATATGCTGCCCCTGTCTTCATGTTGTTGCTGGACATATCTTTTTAAAAATGTGTGTAGGTCACCTAAATCATCAGAAAAATTGCCCCTCCTGAGAATTTTTTCAGGAGCCGCCACTGCCTACCTATATGCACATATCTACCTCAATTACCTCGTACCCCTGCACATCGACTCGGTACTGGTACCCCGTGTATATAGCCATGTTATCGTTACTCATTGTGTATTCCTTGTTTTATTATTTTTCTATTTTTCTCTCTGCATTGTTGGGAAGGACCGGTAAATAAGCATTTCACTGTTAGTCTACACCTGTTGTTTACGAAGCATGTAACAAATCAAATTTGATTTGATTCTGTCCCCAACACTAAAACTAAAACGAAATAATATAAAAACGAAACATAAATATTTGTATACAACTTAAACTAAATAAAAACGAACAATAAAGGTCTGACAACTAACTGAAACTAAACTGAATTCAAAATCAACTTCGAAAAACAAATAGATATCTTAAAACCTTAAAAACAATATAATAACCTTGCAAGGATGTGATGATCATACAATATTGGCACTCTACAGGCTCAACCCAGTAAGTAATCAGTTTAAATTGTAGATACTGAGTGTACTGTAATGTTTTTGTTAACATCTCTTTATTGTAGAATGTCTATCATAGGATGCAACCCAAATGGCATCCTAATCCCTATATAGTGCACTACTTTGGCCCAGTACACTATATAGGGTATAGGGTGCGGGCTTTGGTCAAAAGTAGAGCACTATATATAGGGAATAGGGTTCCATTTGGGACATAACCATAGGTAAGGTCATATATGTCCTATGATGTACTTTGTTGTTTCTACAGACTGTGAACTACCCAAACGGTCCTGAGGGAGACGGTATGGGTACAGGGTTTCAACAGAACCCCCTGCCCCCACTATACATTGCTGCCATCCCTTGAGAATTGGGCCTCTGTGAATACATTGCACATTTTCTTGTTGAAATTGTGTTCTCTAGGCCTATTTTTCTGATCCAAGCCAGGCAATGGTTAGCACCACATCACTGATCTGAATAATTTGACAGTTAAATATTGATAGTGTATTGTGATACAATGTTTTAGTATAATGTTTAGGTTACTATATTGTTGATTTTATAACTTCACATTTTTGTAATTTCTCTCTTTTTTTAATTGATATAATTTAATCATAATTTCTTATGTAAAAGTCATGTATAGTACATTTATTTATCAACTAAAATCAACCACTGCTATATGACAAAATATGATGATGAGGCGTCACTTTTTTTAATAACACGCAAATACATATTTAACTTAATGTCTTGAAACAAGTCATGACTTGTCAATAAAACTGACAAAAGTTTGGAGTCACTTTTATCTTCTATACAATGTAATTAATTTTGGGTAAATATTGATCATTAAAGTAGGGCTAGACCTAAATAAATGTATATTTTTGGGAGGAGTGGTTGAAGGGTCTGAAAAAATCCTGATAAGGAGGGAGTGGTGTGTGGATGTTTACATTGGGCATTAGCCTATATCCTTTCTATCTTGAGTTTGGGCAACATTAAAGGTCATGAACAGTCACAATCACGTGTTTCATGAAATCTTGTGCTTTTTTAAAGAAACCAGATCAAAGTATGATGACCAAAGTATGAAAAATGACTGTTGCTTCTACAGTACCGTGAAAAAGTATTTTCCCCCTTTCAGATTTTCTCTATTTTCGCGTATTTTATACCGAATGTTATCAGATCTTCAACCAAAACCTACTATTAGATAAAGGGAACCTTAGTAAAAAAATAATAATATTTAAAGATACTTATTTCAATAATTTTATTAACATAGTTATGCAACACCCAATTCCCCTGTGTGAAAAAGTAATTTATACCTTTGTTGATTAAATATATGGAGAATCAAGTTGGATTCAGGTAGGAAAGGTTGAAGTGGTCAATTCTCAGTTATCCAGCATAGTTTAGGATCTAGTCAGATATATATGTACTACTGATTGGAGAATAATGTATTATATGTAAGTTATATATGAACTTATGGGGGTTAAGTGATCTTACTTACCACAAGATAAGAAAAAAAAATGGATTGATATTATGTTTTATGGTATAATGATGTCATGTCATAGTATCGTGGGGAATAGGTTAGAGTTACTAGATAAGTGGTTAGGAGACAGAAAGTCTACATTCCATTATGTCAAAGGAGATTACTGATGTTTAGGATAGCATGAGTGATGGGCAGGATAGTGACTTGGGGTAAAGAGTGATGAACATCAAAGACAGGGAGTGCCCATGGAGACTTGCCAGATGTATGCCAGGAAGAGGGTAATAGAGGGTATATAAGGTAGAGTGTCTTCTTTGTTCAAGTTAGTTCGTAACATCAAGGGCAAAGCTCTGGTCATTGTTGTAGCGAACCCGGTACCGATCATTAAACATTTGCATTAACTGTCTACAAAGTGTCTAAGTACAGTGGGGGAAAAAAGTATTTAGTCAGCCACCAATTGTGCAAGTTCTCCCACTTAAAAAGATGAGAGAGGCCTGTAATTTTCATCATAGGTACACGTCAACTATGACAGACAAATTGAGGAAAAAAATTCCAGAAAATCACATTAATGAATTGGATTTTTAATGAATTTATTTGCAAATTATGGTGGAAAATAAGTATTTGGTCACCTACAAACAAGCAAGATTTCTGGCTCTCACAGACCTGTAACTTCTTCTTTAAGAGGCTCCTCTGTCCTCCACTCGTTACCTGTATTAATGGCACCTGTTTGAACTTGTTATCAGTATAAAAGACACCTGTCCACAACCTCAAACAGTCACACTCCAAACTCCACTATGGCCAAGACCAAAGAGCTGTCAAAGGACACCAGAAACAAAATTGTAGACCTGCACCAGGATGGGAAGACTGAATCTGCAATAGGTAAGCAGCTTGGTTTGAAGAAATCAACTGTGGGAGCAATTATTAGGAAATAGAAGACATGCACGACCACTGATAATCTCCCTCGATCTGGGGCTCCACGCAAGATCTCACCTCGTGGGGTCAAAATGATCACAAGAACGGTGAGCAAAAATCCCAGAACCACACGGGGGGACCTAGTGAATGACCTGCAGAGAGCTGGGACCAAAGTAACAAAGCCTACCATCAGTAACACACTACGCCGCCAGGGACTCAAATCCTGCAGTGCCAGACGTGTCCCCCTGCTTAAGCCAGTACATGTCCAGGCCCGTCTGAAGTTTGCTAGAGTGCATTTGGAAGATCCAGAAGAGGATTGGGAGAATGTCAGATGAAACCAAAATATAACTTTTTGGTAAAAACTCGTCATGTTTGGAGGACAAAGAATGCTGAGTTGCATCCAAAGAACACAATACCTACTGTGAAGCATGGGGGTGGAAACATCATGCTTTGGGGCTGTTTTTCTGCAAAGGGACCAGGACGACTGATCCGTGTAAAGGAAAGAATGAATGGGGCCATGTATCGTGAGATTTTGAGTGAAAACCTCCTTCCATCAGTAAGGGCATTGAAGATGAAACGTAGCTGGGTCTTTCAGCATGACAATGATCCCAAACACACCGCCCGGGTAATGAAGGAGTGACTTCGTAAGAAGCATTTCAAGGTCCTGGAGTGTCCTAGCCGGTCTCCAGATCTCAACCCCATAGAACATCTTTGGAGGGAGTTGAAAGTCTGTGTTGCCCAGCGACAGCCCCAAAACATCACTGCTCTAGAGGAGATCTGCATGGAGGAATGGGCCAAAATACCAGCAACAGTGTGTGAA